TTGCTATTATTCATATAATTTTTTTTCCCTGTTCTGATTGATATTAAATAACTAGTGTTAGTAATGATATGGTAATCAGCATCATTACCACCTCTATCATAATGTTTTTTTTTTTAATTATTTTATAATGTTTTCAGATTATTTACAATATAATGCAGAATAAGGAATATAAATAATTGAGAAATAAATGAAGAATTCCCGCTTGTCAGGCATTAAAACGTCCAAAACGAGGAGGAGATAGTAGTTAACGAGATGTAACAACCACTAATTAGGTGTCAACGAGGTAATTGAATATTTAAGAAGGATTGATCATCGAGGCGTTTTCATTATTTTCGTTACCCTTCCCCTTATGATGAGCAGTAGTAGTAGTATTAGTAGTAATGGACGTTGTATTAGTAATAATAATAGTAGTAGTAGTAGTAGTAGTAGTAGTAGTAGTAATAGTAGTAGTAGTAATAGTAGTTGTAGTAGTAGTAATAATAGTAGTTGTAGTAGTAGTAGTAATAGTAGTTGTAGTAGTAGTAGTATTAGTGGTACTAGCAGTGGAGCAGCTGTAGTAGTAGTAGTAGTAACAATATTAGTCACTGTAGTAGTACTAACAGTAATATTCACAGTAGTAATAGTGGTAAAAGCAGTAGTAGTAAAAGCAGTTGTGTTATCCACTGTCGTAGTGTAATTGTTCTAGAATCTGTTTATCTCTTTTTTGTTTTTATTTTAGTGATAATATCAACAACGATGATAATAGTTTTAATGACAATAACAATGATGACGATGATGATGATGTTCATCATCATCATTACCATCAACATCATCATCATTAGTACCAACACGATCATCATTTTGCTCATTTAAGTCAAATCCTGAAACAGATCTTAACAAAAATAAACCTTAACTTCAGACCCCACAGAAGTTATTATCCATTCCCCTTAATTCGCAGGGGATTCGCATAACGGCCAGAGATGAACATAGCGATTTTGTGGTACTGCATAATAGCTATAATCCTTACCTGCTTCTACCCCTCTCATAATGATTTTCATGGCAAAACCTGGCGATCTATGAAAACATTTTACCCCATTGACAACACAGACCACTATAATCTCGTGAACCACATTGTAAACTCTTCTCGTTAGTGGGAAGTGCTTGGCTTAACTGAAACATTTGCAGTTTTTTTTCTGTCTCTCTCTCTGCTGACTTTTCTGTCTGTATGTTCTATATTGCTAGTGTATGATGTATACATCTATATCTATATCTAATCTCTCTTTCTTTCTCTCTCTCTCTCTCTCTCTCTCTCTCTCTCTCTCTCTCTCTCTCTCTCTCTCTCTCTCTCTCTCTCTATATATATATATATATATATATATATATGCAATATCTATATATCTATATATCTATATCTATATCTATATCTATATCTATATCTATCTATATCTATATCTATATACATATATATATATATATATATATATATATACATACATATATATATATATATATATATATATATATATATATATATATATATATATATATATATATATATATATATATATGCGCATGCACATTTGTGCCGTCACTGATGCGATGTTTGACAAACTACTTGGTGCTATGTAGACATCATGTAGTTGACTGGATCTTTATACTGGGTTGGCTAACCAGTAATCCTTCCCCAGGGGAGTAGTTAGTTAAGAAATCATTGGTGGTGGTTTTCAACCCACCATCATATCTACGATAGACTCACCCGTTACCGTATCTACCTCTGACTTACCCAATTTAGACAAATCCTTAGTAATCTATACATACATTGCGCGCATGTCAATGGGTGTGTGCATTCATGTACACATACACGTCGCCCGCTCGCGCATATTATTATAATTATCATTATTGTTTTATTTATTTATTTCATTTTCTTTTTTTTTTTTGCGCCGTCACGGATGCGGTGTTTGACGAACTACTTCGATTTGACATCATGTTGTTGGCTGGTCTTTATGATGGGGAGGCTGACCTATGATCCTTTCCTAATGGAGTAGGCAATTGAAGTTCCAATGCGTCCGGACTCGAACCCTATATATGTATACACACACACATATGTATATATATATATATATATATATATATATATATATATATATATATATATATATATATGTATATATTCACATATATATGTATATACATATCTATGTATGTATACATACATACATACATACATACATACATATATATATATATATATATATATATATATATATATATATATATATATATATATATATATATACATATTTGCATACACATACACACATACATATATATACATATATATACATACATATGTATATATATATATATATATATATATATATATATATATATATATATATATATATATATATATATATATTATGTATATACATACATATGCACATATATATCCACGTAATAGTAAGTATCGTTCAGATAATTAGATTATGGATAATAAAAGATCAGACAATTTGTATAAAACCTGTTATTTACATATAAAAATACGATAAGAGATGGGTAGAGACGGCGGTAGCGACGAGGGCAGAGGTCAGCCAGGCCCAGTAGCGACGTCCAGCAAAGGTCACGGATGACCCACCCTGCATGGGCGCCGGGTATTCCCCTGGGGAGATAAGGAGGAGAGGATATCAGTCTTTGGGGGACTTGATGGGTTGAGGTTGTTTATAATGAGTAAGGTCAGGTTTTGTATTGTATTCTTTTGTTAATGGGGTGACCACTATTAAGTGAAATACTAACTTGGTTATCGTTTAATGCAAATAAACTATGTTTAATGTTTCCTAACCATTACGTGGAGAATATACGCCTTTTAGTTACGGATTTATCTGTAGATGATCCGACCATAAATATACAACATAAATATTTCTGCTTTCAACGACGGAATGGAACAAAACACACTGGTGATATAAACACTATCACTATATATATATATATATATATATATATATATATATCTATCTATCTATCTATCTATCTATATATATATATATATATATATATATATATATATATCTATCTATCTATCTATCTATCTATCTATATATATATATATATATATATATATATATATGTATATATCTATATATATATATATATATATATATATATATATATATATATATATATATATATATATGTATATATATATATACATATATATATATATATATATATATATATATATATATATATATATATATATATATATATATATATATACATTTTTTTTTTTTTTTTTTATTATCTATGTACATTCATTACTATATCTGTATCCACAATGCTCAAGATAGTTATTAAAGGAAATTGGAATTGAATACTGATGTCACTACTCGATACTAAGAACGTAATTCCTGGAAAGCAAGGTGATAATTTGAGAATATGATAAGCACGAGGTAATTAAGGAAGGATGATAATACTATGATTACAGACGTTAAGTTAGAGAGTTAGTAAATAGTCTAATAGTCGAAGGCTTGCAGTGACGCATGGCGGTAATAGGAATACATCAAACGCTAACGAATTAGCTTTTAAGTAATTAGATAATATCAGTAATTAGGAAAACATCAGGCAGACAGATTATTGACGAATTAGGAGATTGATTTAGGGATTAGAGATATGTGGTGATATTAAACAGCTTTATCTGAACTGCAGCAAATTGGAAATGGTTATTACACAATAAGGATTACATAAATTGTTTCCGTTTTAAAAAGTATTAGAAGTGGGAATAATGAAAGTGGAGAGAGCGAGAGAGAGAGAGAGAGAGAGAGAGAGAGAGAGAGAGAGAACATTACGAACCAAATACCCAAAACGTGGTGAAAGGAAGGAATAAAATTAGGAGATAAATACAAGGAGACTGAGAGAAGAGGGAAGAACATTTAAAACAGCATAAGGAATGGGAAGGGGACATTGATAAAAGTGATGAGAATGAGATTGAGCAAGAAGATAAGCAAAGGCAAGGAGAAGTAAAATAGGGAAAAGGGGGAAGGGAAGAAGAGAGATATTTTGAGAGATGGACAAAGAGGGAAATAAATGGACGAAAAGATAGAATGAAGGAAGAGCGAGTTATGGCGATTTTAGTATTCAAACAAAGGAAAGCAGTATAGCTCCCACTGATGATAACATTTCTAAAACATAAAAATACATCATTACTAACAACAACAAGCAAATTCATAAAACAAAGGACCGTTCCCTCAAGCAGTCACGCGGGCCTCCCATTTTTCCCAATCTTAAAAGCATCTTCTTGACTTTGTGTGTCCAAGGCGTCCAAGCAGAACACACTGGAGTCCCCGAGCTGTCCGTGACGTGTATGCATCATGATATTACATGACACATAGTCTGTATTAAAGGGATCGGCCAATCTCGGGGTCGTTTGGGAGTCCTTCTAGGGTCCTTCTGGGGTCATGACTGCTGGAATGATGGGAGCAATATCCGTCCCGTCTGTCATATGCAAATCCCTGACTTCGTTCCCTCCCCTTAACGTTATGCGAATCCATCGTATAATCCTGACCTTCCTTTTGTAAGCGAGAAGACGTATGTACGGATAAATCCTCCAGATTCACCTAACTGTAGACTTTAAATTCTCTAGCCAATTAGTTAGGGAACCTCCGACACCAACTACGCGTTAGTTATAAATCTTCCAACAAAACAAACCTGTAGGTTATAAACCCTCCAACTCCCCTTCTGGTAAGTTGTATATCCTCCAGCACTACAAGCCTCTAAGTTATAATGCCTCTAACATCCCCTACTTGTAAAGCATGATTCCTCCAACACCTCCTATACATAATTTCCATATTATCCAACATCACAAACCTGTAAATTAAAAATCCTCCAACTGCTTACAAGTCATGATTCCTCCAACACCCCTTATCTATAATTTTCAAAGTTATAAATCATCAGACACCACCTACTTGAAATTTGCAAACCCACCTATACCACAAACTCGTACAGATTTTCCAACGGTCCCTACATAC